GGGCGACCCGCCCTCCGTTCCGTTGCTGCTGCCGCCCGGCAAGATGCCGATGCCTGAGCCCTGTGAGCTGGAAGAGAGGTTCGCCCTGGTGTTGGTGAGAGCTGAGCCCAACCCCTTCCCCTCCTAAGGCCCCCGGGTCCCGACGCCCTGGGTGGGATTTTGTGCGGTGGGCCCCGCCAGATCCCGGCCTCCAGTGCCTTCCCCGAATTTCTGAGCAACCGCTGGTGGGCCTGCACAGCCCGTCGGGATCACAGTACAACGTCTTCTCCGCTGGGCACTTGGAGGAGGAGGAGGAGGGGTCCTCAGCCCGTGACAGCTCAGGGATCCAGACTTCTCCCTCCTCCTTCCCACCCTGCCGCCTTACTCTAGTCTCCCCGCCGCCTCATCAGAATTCCCGTTCCGGAGCCTCTCGTTGATGCGAGTTCAGAAGCTGGGGCTGGTCTGCGCCTCAGCCTAGGTCCGGCTTGTCTGAGTGGGGAGACCGCCCCTCGTGTTAACATGGAGTCTTCCCAGAGTGTGGGTCCCTCGCCCAGCCCAGATGTTTGAGGGAGGAAGAGGGACGGGGAGGGGCTGGCAGCTCTTGAAAGGGGTGGAATAACGAGTGATGCCATTCTACTTATTTTCAAGACGGCCTGCAGGCATCCTAAGTTATAGTGGATTTGCCTAAAAGGCTGAACATGTGGATGAGCCATTTCACTAGGGTATTTTTTCCAATTGAAACAGTATACAAACTATCCCGCCTCCTTTTCCCCCCACTTTTCATGTTAAGCCCTAGTGACTGGTTTTTATTCTTTTGCCTTTAGTCTTTCTGTAAGTTCTAAAATGGTCTGTTTTTAGTTCTAAAATGGATGGGTTTTTAGAGCTGACTTTGGGGCTCTCCTTTGATGTGGGAATTGGATATTGATGTTGGTGCTTCTGTGAGTTGAAAGGTTCTGATCTGGTATCACTGGGATGGACCCTAGGATTTGTTGGGGCTGAATTTAAAGTTTCGGAGAAAGAAAATGAACAGAAACATTTTTGAGAAACTTGGGGAAGTTCTTAGTTCCCCAGAGAACGAAGAGGCAATAATAATTCTTGTTGGTTTGGCCTGAAGGGTTGACTTTGCCTTTGCTCATGAGGAGGGATGTTATGGACTTAGTAGCCTTATTGGATTTCACCTGCCTTGGAAGAGGGAGATTAGATCTGTTGGCAGCCCTGGAGCTGTCTAGAGATCCTGGGCTGATGGTGGAGAGCCTGACATCAGTCCGCTGGCACAAGAGCCAGCTCAGAGAGGGGCCATAATGACGTTCCAAGGGGAAGTTGTGCCATTGGCACCCCTGCCTGCCAGCTCTTTGAAGGATCGAAGGGATCTGGGCCACACATCCTGTGGCCCTCTGCATTTCTCCCATCCTCCTAAGGGGGTGGGGTGAGTCAGTGATTACTAATGTGGTGTGACCATCTCAGAGGCTGAGGAGAAGAGACTGGGACTCAATAATGCCGTGGAGAACAAGAGCTCAACTGTTGGAGAAAAGAATAGGAGGGAATCCACCCTCCAGTGGGGGTGTGAAAACCCCTAGTGAGCTGGCACCAGTTAGCTATGGAACTAGAAAAGGAAGTGCTGAGGTGGATTGGATGGGAGGCTGTCTGAGATAGGGACTTCAAGGCTTTTGTGAGAGGTCAGAACCAGAGCCCATCATGTCTTCATTGGAGCTTGGTAGGCCAGTTTGTTTAGTTAGCAAATTGATGGCTTAACATTCACAAAATGCACATGGTGTCCTGTTTACTATCCAGAGCACCCAGAGAGCCCAGGTCTAGTATGGAACTGGACCACCCACTTGAAATTCTTCCCTTTTGTATAAATTTTTGGTTTGTTTCCTTGTGGCTTTTGCTTTGGTTTTGTTTCTGTGTCCCTGAGCTGCTGCTGTTGGAGGGTTGGAACAGGGCAGGCCAGGGCTAGTTGGCTGGTTTAGGAGGGGAGGAGAATTAACCTCAATTTTCTAACACAGAGAAATCATGATTTCTTGGATATTTGAGCTTTGTAGGTACTATGTTTATTTGAATATAGCCCAGGCTGGCCTTGAACCTGTGATCTCCTGCCTCATTCTCCCAAATCCTGTGCCATTATGACTGGCTTTCTAGGTTCTTTGAAAGTTCTCTCTTTCCACTGCTCCTGAAGGATGCCCTTTCTACCATTTTTTGGGAGCAGTACCAACTGAGCTAGACATTTGACCTTGGCACAGGCTCAGGTGTATTTCCTGAAGAGTCAGGAGAGAAGTAGTATAGTAGAAAAAGTAAGTACTCTTATCTTTAATCTCTTTGAGTTTAGATTCTATCTTCTATAACATAGGACTTGTAATTCTTTGGGCCGGGGATTTGGCTCAGTGGTTCCAGTGCCTGCCTCAAAAGTGCAAGGGCCCACCTTCGGTCCCTGTACCAAAATTAAAAAAAAAAAAAGGAAAGAAAATTAATTCCTGACCCTATGAGATTATAAGCTGCCCTGTACCAAAATTAAAAAAAAAAAAAAGGAAAGAAAATTAATTCCTGACCCTATGAGATTATAAGAACTGGATGTATTAAAGCACTTGGCACCTAGCAGGCCAGGCTGGCCTCACATCTGTTATCTTCCTGTTTTTGTCTCCCTGAGTAATTACAAGTATGTGCCATCATAGCTGGCTTAATTTATTTTCTTTATATGAAAATCATATTTCTCAATTTTTACTTTTGGTACTGGGGATTGAACTCAGGTCTTTGAGCTTGTGAGGCAGGCTGTGGAACCACTGAGCTAAATCCCCAGCCCTCTCACCTTTTTCTTTACTACTTTGGCAGCTTCACTGTAATTAGTTGGATTTATGAAAAAGCTGTTTAGGGCCTGGGGATTTAGCTCAGAGGTGCCGCTACCTGCCTCACCAGCACGAGGTCCTGAGTTTGATCTGCAGTACACACAAAGAAAGAAAAAACTGTTTGGGGGATCTGTTTATGTAACTCAATGGTTTCCTGGCTGAGCATACAGCATGAACTTTCAAGTCAAGAGTAGTTTCAAATACTGTCTTCTTCACAGTCTCCAATTAGAAAAGTGTTTGACCTTAAATAAGTTATACTTAATTCCTTTGGGTCCCAGTTTCTTTTTTTTTTCCTCTCAGTACTGGGGATCGAACTCAGGACCTTGTGCTAGTAAGGCACGTGCAGCGCCACTGAGCTAAATCCCCAGCCCACAATGATTCAGACCTGAGATCACTTACATTGCCAAAAGGTGGTTTTCTGTTCAGAAATCTGATGAAGCTAGTTACCCCAGTCTGCCTGCTGCTGGCAGATTGAGGGCTTTCCCAGTCCTAGTACAAGTGTGGGGACACACCCCCCTACCCCCAACCCCTGGTGAAGCACTCTGGCTGGGGAAGTTGTATTTAGTGCTGAGTCAAGATCACAGGCTCCCTGCTTTCTGGTACAGACATAGGATCTGACCCACAGCTTGTCAGCCGAGGTTGGAAGGCTCCAGGCCTGAAGCCATTTGGTTTCTTCAAGACATTGTTCCCCAAAGTCCTAAGCCAGCCTAGTGCCTTAAAGGAGAGTTTCCCTACTGGTGTGTTGCAGATGGGTCACTATGCTTTGGATACTGAGCCTAAGGGCAGCTGAGGTCCCTGGTTGGTCCTGAGTGTGCCCTGATGTGAAAAAGATTGTGAACCTGTTATGTTATACTGCTTTTGGAGATCCTTTCTTGCCCACTTTCTCTGAGCAGCAATTCTTATTCTGTTGAGTACTAAGAGATTTGGGATTGGGATAATTATTTTATTTATTTATTTATTTATTTATTTATTTATTTTGGTGTTTTGAGACAGGGTCTCACTATGTAGTTAAGGCTGACCTGGAGCTCACTATGTATCCCAGGCTGGTCTCGAACTCACAGCAATCCCCCTGCCTCAGCCTCCCGAGTGCTGGGATTATAGGCATGCGCCACCACACCCGGCTATAGTTCTTTATTGTTCCCAGAATAAAAGCCAGTCTCTGATGTGATGAAGTTCTGATCTGTTTGGTTCCTACTAGATTACTACCCAAGCTCAGTTGCTCAGAAGCCAGTGTTCTGGCCGGTGTTGGACTTGCTTGGAGAAAAGAGGCAGAGAGCTCTAGGGGCTTTGAAAGGATAGCTCTCTGTCTTTGGTGTGTTTGTACCCTGATTTTTCTCTTTATTGAGTTATGCAGACCCAAAACTGGATCTGAACAATTCTGATAACAAAAAAGTCGCTGGGTGTCCTTAGGACCAGGCTCCTGTCCATGAGGGTGTGGTTGTGTGACACGGCTGTTCCTGCTGCACTTCTCACATTTTTCTGGTGAGAATTTAGGTTTTGCCTTAAGTGTAGCAGTTTAGTTGGCCTAGGTGGTAGTTACTTATTTGAGAGGCTTTGAGGGGGTTCCTTTGATACAGAAAGGGTCTGGGAAAACTTGGACCTAAACATCAGATTCCAAACAACTGTGGTAGAATTTTTTCCCCTAGTCCTGGGAATTGTGGTGAATTTGTTCAGGCTGGAATAGAACTTGGGGGAAGGAAAGGGCTTTGACAGCTGGTCAGAGGACCTCCCTCTTGTTCAGAGATCCCACCACTGAGAAGACCCTGGGCCACAGAGAAGAGTCTTGTTCTCTTGACCTTCATCTTGCCCAGAGTTAGCCTGGGAAAAGTGTATGTGTACCAGGATGGATGAGGTGCACACATTGTCATTTGGGAATGTTTTCCTTGCCCAGAGGGAGATTCAGGCTCCCCCCACCACACACACACACTGGAAACTAAACCCGGGGCCTTTGCTGAGCTACATCTCGGTCCTTTTTTAATTTCCTATTTTGGGACAGGGTCTCAGATAAGTTGCCTAGATTTCTCTTGCCTAAGCCTTCCAGAGTGCTGGGATTACAGGCATGCACTGTGACTCCCAGATGAGATTCAGATTTTTTTTTTCTTAAAATAATACACATTCACTAACAAAGGTATGGGACAGCGGGTATGGTGGCACATGACTGTAATCCCAGCACTCAGGAAGCTGAGGCAGGAGGATTGCTATGAGTTCAAGACCAACCTGGGCTACATAGTGAGCTCCAGGTCAGTCTCAACTATATAGTGAGACCCTTTCTCAA